GAATAACTTTAGTTTTATAAATACATTAAATAAAATAAATGTTTAAATAAAAGCAATTATATAGTGTTTTAATTATCCTATCTATATTCCTGAATCCTCACTTCAGAATATAAATTTAACAAAATTTGTAAATGTGATGTGGCCCGCGTGAATCTTGCCTGTTGCACCAAATGGCCCGTGTTTTAATTGAGCTTGACACCCCTGCTCTAGGCGAACTCCGGAGCTAAGCCCGCAGCCCACACTGCCACGGCGCGCATGCGCGCAGCACTCTCCTCCCCTCTGCCCCAACCCCGCCCCTCCATCTGGCCACCCCTGTCAGCAGCCAATTAGGGAGAGGAGGCGGCCCTGGTGGGCGCGGTGCTCCTTGGGTAGTGTCCCTAGTTACTGTTGCTAAGGGTGCTGCTCGCCGGAGGTGTGGGGAGTCCTAAGTTTTGAGAACCAGGACCTTAGAGGTCAAGGGTCAGTACAAAGCCCGGGAGGAGATGGTGAAGCAGACTATCCAGATTTTCGCCAGGGTGAAGCCCACTGCCCGGAAGCAGCAACAAGGGGTACGGGTCCGAGCAGCGTGGGCGCCGGCCTGGCGGGGCCTCCCAGGCCGGGGGGAGGGGCGGCACGCGACGCGAGGAGTCTGGGCCTGGGGGAGGGGTTCGGATGCCGCCCGGAAGCTAGCAAACTGTGCCTGAGAGGCGCCCAGACCACCAGCGCACCGCTGTTGGGACACAGACAGACACCTAGGCACTCCCACCCAGCACAGCCCTGAGGGCGCGGACATACCCTGCACAGAGTCACATACATGCGCCGGGGCACACGTGTTCACGCAGGGCCAGACGCATGCATGCATGTCTGTACACTCACACACTGCGCCTCAACTATGCACCCTTATTGCCTGCCCCTTTCTTGGAAATGGCCACCCAGCTCTTCACACATATGTACACCAAAACTTATGTTTTGCACACTCAGGCAAAACGTGCAAGCAAGAGATGCGTGTCCCTACATGTCTGAGATGTTGCAGATATTAGATACAATTATAGATACACAAAGCATACACTGTGGCTCTGCACACAGTGGGCCCTTAGAATTGGTCGACCATGTTGTCATTCTGCAACAGAAACACGAACGTTGACATATACTCGTTGCAGATATGGATATTTATGCATCTGACACAAAGAAACACATATACTCTTTATTCAGAAAGCATTAACTGAGTGCTTACTAGGTGCTGTCTCTATTGTGCTAAGCTCAGAAAGGTGCCAAGAAGGTTACGACATTGTCCTTGCTCTGAGCAGAAATACTTTGAATGCTTCTTAAATGTTTCAAAATGTTGTTTTCTGTCCCTATAAAGAAGCATAGTCATTCTTACCACTTAGGTTCTTTGTCTACATTATCCCTGATTCTCATGAGAACCCTGCAAGGTTAATACCATTTTCCTCATTTTATAGATTGGAAAACTGAGTCTCAAATAGATTAATTAATGTGGCCAAGACACCCACCCACCTGTGAGTGGCAGAACCCTAATTNACTATCATCACCATGCTGTACATTAGATGCTCAGAACTTATTTATCTGTAACTGAAAGTCTGTAGCTTTTCACCAACATCTTGCCATTTCTCCCGCCTCTCAGTCACTGACAAACACTATTGTAATCTCTGTTTCTATGAGTATGACTTTTTGTTTTGTTTTGTTTTGTTTTTTTTAGATTTTACATATAAGTGATACCATACAGTATTTGTCTTTCTGCCTGGCTTATTTCATTTAGCATAATACTCTCCAGTTTCTTCTGTTATCATAAATTGCAAGGTTTCCTTTTTTCTTTTCTTGCTGAATAATATTTCATTGTATATGTATGTATATATGCAACATTTTCTTTATCCATTTATTCTTAGATGGACACTTAGATTGTCCTACTTCTGAAGGAAACAAGATCAGTGTCTTGAAGAGATACCTGTACTTCCATGTTCATTGCACCATTATTCACAATAACCACAATATACAAACAACCCAACTGCCCAACCTTAAGTCTTTTCTTCTTTACCACCCAGCACCACGTGTAAAAGTCCTTAAAGTCTATTTCATAAATATCTCCTTTTCTCAATCCTTGCTATGCTACACCTGTTCATACTCTACACTCTATTTAAAATTTTTTATAACAGTACAGTGTACATACAGTATAATTCACCCTTTTAAGTGTATAGATAGTTCTATGAGTTTTGACAAATATGTACAGTCATGTAACCACAATTACAATCAAGGTGTGAAACAGTTCCATCACCCCAAAAAAACGTTTTCATACTCATTTGTAGTCAACCTCTTTCCCCACCCTAGCCCCTGGCAACCACTGATCTGTTTTCTATCCCTATAGTTTTGCCTTTTCTAGAATGTCATATAAATGGAATTATTATGTGTGTAACTTTGAACCTGGCATCTTTCACTTAGCATAATAAATTTGAGATTCATCTATGTTGTTGCAAACATCAACAGTCCATTTCTTTTAATTGTGTGGATGTACCAGTTTGTTTATCCATTCACCAGTTGAAGAACATTTACTTTATTTCCAGTTTGGGGCGATTGTGAACACAACCACCATAATCATTCAAGTGTTTATGTTTCATTTCACTTGGGTAAACACCTAGGATTGGGAATGTTGGGTCATATAGTAAATATAACTCTCTGCATAAGAAACTATGAAACTGTTTTTCAAAGTTACTGGTCCATCTTGCATTCTCTCCATCCACATCTGAGAGTTCCAGATGCTCTGCATCCATGCCAGCTGTTGGCATAGCCAGTTTTATTTTCTTATTTTTAGCCATTCTACAAGGTGTATAGTAACATCTTATTGTGGTTTTAATTTGCATTTTGTCCATGATTAACTACATTAAACATCTTTTCATGAGCTTGTTTGCCAACTGTATGGTGGGAAGTGTCTGTTAAAACCCTTGACCACTTTACTTAAAACAAAAATAAATTGGGTTGTTTGCTTTCCTATTTATTATTGAGTTTTAAAAGTTTTTAGGTGTTCTGGATTCAAGTTCTTTATCAGATATGTGTTTTGCAAAACTTTTCTCCCAGTTTGTGGCTGGTCTTCATTCTCTAAGAGTTGCTTTTTAAAACTTTTTATTTTTGAGATAATTGTGGATTAACACAAAGTTTTAAGAAATAATACAGGGAGGTCTTGCATCCTCTTCCCCCAATGGCAACATCTTGCATAACTGCCGTACAATGTCACAACCAGGGAGTGGACATTGATACAATCCATCCATCTTATTCAATCTTATTCAACTTTCAACAGTTTTATATGCACTTGTGAGTGTGTGTGTGTGTGTGTGTGTGTGTGTGTGTGTCCTTTGTTCTATGCAATTCTATCACATGGTAGATTTCTGTGACCACCACCACAGTGAAGATACAGAACAGTCAGTCCATCACAAAGATCCTTTTATAGACATAGCCACCTCCCCATCCCCCCACCCTCGCCTCCCTAACTCCTGGCAACCACTAATCTGTTCTCCATCTCTATAATTTTGTCATTTCAGGAATGTTATATAAATGGAATCATACAACATTTAACTTGAGTCTGGCTTATTTCACTCGGCATGTCTCTGGAAATTCATCCAAGTTGTTATATGTATCAGTAGATCCTTCATTTTTATTGCTGAATAGTATTCCACAGTTTATTTAACTATCCATTGGTTGACGGACATCTAGGTTTTTTCTAGTTTGTAGCTATTTTGAATAAAGATGATATGAACACTCAATCACAGTTTTTTTTGTGTGTGAAAACACAAGATTTCATATCTCTGAGATAAACGACCATGAGCACAATTGCTGGATCTTATTGGAGTTGCATCTTTATTTTGTAAGAAACTGCCAAACTGTTTTCTAGAGTGGCTGTAGCATTATCCATGGCATATTTTACATTATCCATTCCCACCAGTAATGTGTGAGTGATACAGTTTTCCTGTATCCTTGTCAGCAGTCTTGTTTTTGTCACTATTTTTATTTTCGCCATTCTGATAGGTGCGTCATATCTCACTGTGGTTTTAATGTGTATTTCTCTGGTGGATAATGATGTTGAACATCTTCTTAAGTGCTAACAGCATCTTTTGAGGTACCATCCTTTTATTTATTTATTTTCCAGCTTTATTGAGATATAATTGACATATAAGTTTAAGTTGTACAATGATAATTTGATACATGTATATATTGTGAAATAATTACCACACTTAGGTTAGTTAACACCTCATTACCTCACATAATGATCGTCTGTGTGTGTGTGTGTGTGTGTGTGTGTGTGATGAGAACATTTAAGATTGACTCTCTTAGCTACTTTCAAGTATACAATACAACATCATTTACTATCATCACCATGCTGTATATGAGATCCCCAGAACTTACTCCTCTTGTAACTACAAGTTTGCACCTTTTGACTATTATTTCCCCATTTCCCCCACCTAGCCCCTGATAACCACCATTCTACTTTCTGTTTCTATGAATTCCAATATTTAGATTCCACATATAAATGAGATCATACAATATTTGTCTTTCCCTATATAACTTATTTCCTTTAGCATAATGCCCTCTGACTTCATCCATGTTGTTGCAAATGGCAAGATTTCCTTTTTTATGGCAGAATAATATTCCAATTTATATTTAAATACATTATATATAATTCCATTACAGATATAAAACATAATATATACTGTATCTAATATTCCATTATACAGATCACATTTTCTTTATCCATTCATCCATCAGCGGACACTACATTGATTCCATATCTTGGCTAATGCCACAGTTAGTATGCGAGTGCCAACACCTCTTAGGCATCCTGATTTCAGTTCTTTCAGATAGATACCCAGGAGTGGGATTGTTAGATTATACAGCAATTCTAGTTTTAATTTTTTGAGGAATTTCCACAGTGGCTGCACCAACTTACAGTCTCAACAACCATGCACAAGGGAGCCCATTCTTTCTTGACATGACCATTGCATGGAAAACAGTCCCCCTTCCTCCCGCCTTGGCCTCCCAAAACAGAACTAGATCAGGTGCCCTTTCACAGAACCCCTCGCTTACTCTGACATAACTCATAATTTCCTGTTGAAAATCTGTCTCCTTTATCAGATCCTAATCTCCAAGTGGGCACAGGCAGTTTTGCTCAGCTCAAGATCCTCAACCAGTATACTGCTGTCACAGATCAAGTGCCATTTCTCCAATGAATGAATAATAAAAAACAGAACGATTTCAGTGCTAAAAAGAGGTGCTGCATCAGAGAATGAATGGATTGAGGAACAAGGAAAAGCATGGTAGTTGTCACCCCATTAACCATTCTCTAGGCCAGGGGTGTCAAACTGGCGGCCCTGCGGGTTGCATGAGACCCTCGAGGTAATTTTTTGTGGCCCGCGATGCTCTGAAATAAAATGAAAATAGAAAAAATTGTTATGAAGAAAATAGCGCTTAGAGGAGATTGAGGCAATACCGTACACACAATTCCCTCGTTAACCCTTTAAC